AACAAACTTACGTAATGTCTGCCCTGCGCTGGGCACTGTTCTCGGCACCCAGCTAACAACCACAACCCTTTACTGTCTATAGACTCCACCGTTACTCCCATTTCACAGAAAAGGAAGCTGAGACCCAGGGAGATTAGTCACACTGTCCATGGTCATGCGGCTGGATTCACACCCAGGCAAACTGGCCCAGGGTCCATTCTGCTAACCACCTTGTCACTATTATCAGGAAAAAAAAAAAAAAAAAGCATTTTTTTAAGGAACAGTGATTAAAGCATCCATCCATTTCCCTCTGATGCCTTCTGCTAAGTCTTGCACATATTTTCCACTTTTTTTTAATCTCTGCCCATTTGTAATATTCTATAATGGTCTAAAAAATATAACACATAACATATTAAAATAATGACAGTCTCATGCTCATCTATTCCAGCAGGAAAATTTCCCGATTAGGACACTGAGGAGATGTGCAGTCTCAGCCAAGAGTGGAGAGACGCTAGCTAGCAAAGGGCAGGAAAGACAACGGGAGGAAAGGACGAGCTGTCAAGCCTCAGGTCACTAGGTTAGGGAGTCACCCAAGTTACGGCACAGCCAGAGCGTGCTCTGGAGAAATGTGAGGGGGACGGGTGGGAAGGACGAGGACGAGGACGAGGATGAGAATGGGGAGAGGGCCAGGACTCTGAAAGGCAGGGAGGTCAGAGTGAGGGACGGGTAACCATGAGAAGTGCGTGTAGTGCAGAGCGAGGCCACCCAGGGGTGCCCGCGTGGCCCAGGGCTTCACATTCAAAAGAGCCTCTTCCAATTTGTTGCTCAGGGCCTGAGGCTGGACCACATACAATCGCCATTTTTGTGGGTCAAAGCTGCGGACAGATATTGACAATTTCATATGCTTCAGATTATATATATATAGTCTCATGAGTAACATTGAAAGAAGAAAGTATTCATTGTAAAACATAAAATACAGCATAATTTGTAACCCTCTTATGACTTATCAAGGAGTTCTGGTGGCACAGTGGACAAGGCATTTGGCTGCTAACCAGAAGGTCAGTAATTCATAACCCACCAGCCGCTCCACGGAAGGAAGATGGGGCGATTTACTTCTGTAAAGATTTACAGCCTTGGAGACCCAGTGGGGGTTGCTGTGAGCTGGAACTGACTCCATGGCAGTGAATTTGGGTTTTTGCTTTGACACATCTCCTCCTCGTTCCTCTCTGTCCCTCCCCAGTCTCCCTGCTCTTCTCTCTCCCTGTCCCTCTCCTTCCTTCTCCCCCTTTCCTTGCTCCTCTTCCTCCTCCTCCTCCTGCTCTCCTCCCTCTCTCTCCTCTCTTCCTCCTCTTATATTTCATTTTAAAATATACTAGGCATGTAATGATTCATCTGGAGTCCCCAAGTGGCACAAATGGTTAAGTGCTTGACCGCTAGCCAAAGGATAGCCGTTCAAACCCACCCACGGGCACTGGGGAAGGGAGGCCTGGTGGTCTGTTTCCAAAAGGATGTTGTTGTTGTTGTTGTTATATGCCCTCGAGGACCCAACACAAAGCGACCCCTCCTTGGGTTTCCAAGGCAGTATCACTACGGAAGTAGTTTGCCCCATCTTCCTTCCGAGGAGTTGCTGGTGAGTTTGAACCACCAGCCTTCTGGTTAGCAGTCCAGTGCCTTAGGCACTATGCTACAGCCTTGAAAATCCTATGATTTCTACACACATGGGGTCTCCTCAAGTCAAAAGGTCACTTGGGTGGCACAAATGGTTTGCAGTAGTATAGTGCCTAAGGCATCTGACTGCTAACCAGAAGGCTGGCAGTTCAAACCCATCAGCCCCTCCTTGGAAAGAAGGATGGGTAAACTACTTCCATAGTGATACCGCCTCAGAAACTCAAAGAGGGGTCACTATGAGTTGGGTCCGACTTGACAGCACATAACAACAACAAAAATTAACCTAAAGGTTGGTGGTTCAAATCTACCCAGAAGCACCAGAGAAGAAAGGCCTAATGATCTGCTTCTGTAATAATTACAGGCAAGAAAACCTTATGGGTCCCACCCAACTCTAAGATTGGAAAATCCTAAGATGGCCAAGCTAAGCATCTCCTCGTTTCCTCTCCCACATTAAAAGATTCTCTCCTCCTAAGACACAGATCTCAGGCTTGTGCAGCTAACATGTTAGGAATTTACTGTCTTAAAAAAAAAACCCTTATGGAGCAGTTCTGTTCTGTACCACATGAGGTTGCCGTGAGTTGGAATAGACTCCATGGCACTGGGTTTGATTGGTTTCGTTTGTTTGTTTTCGTCAATGACTCATCTCACTCATCATTTGGGAACTTTTCATAAGATAAATTCAAACTGCTGGGTGTGCATGCATGAGTGCACGGGTGTACGTGTTAAAGAAGGAACTCGGAGCAGCCTCTCCTGCTGGCCAGCTCTCCAAGACACTCTGGGAGACGAGAGGCTGCAGCTGCCAGGGCAGGTGTGGAAGCTCCTCACTGGCATCAGCCCACAAGATGCCCTCAGTGTTAGCTCCAGCCCACCGCTCAAAGGTCCTGTGACCTAACCCCAGACTCAGCCTGGAGAGAAGAGGAAACAGACAACTGTGACATGACGGCCCCACTGGCCACTTGGACCCATGACCTTGGGCTCAACCTGATATGCTGCCATTGACCAAGATTCTTCAGTATTCTTGACAAAAAAACAACATGGTCACCAAGTCAATTCTGACACATGGCATGCCACACATTACAGAGCAAAACTGCCCCATAAGGTTCTCTTTACTGTGATCTTTACAGAAGCAGATGACCAGGCCTTTCTTCCATGGTGCCACTGGGTGGGTTCAAACCAACAA